ACTGGTGTGCTGTTGACAATGCTGACCCCTGTACTGGGCTTAAAGCAGTAGTGAAGCATCTGTGTGTACCTTGGAGCAGACAGGAGGGGGTTCCTCTTCCTTGGTTGCCACAGCTTTGGCATTTGTTGCTAGCTTGAGATCTGGAAGAAGCAGTTCTTCAGCACGACACTAAGGGGCAGCTCCAGACCAAAGGAATATTCCTACTTTTTATATACACACAAATTAAGAGAACACTATATTTTCCTCATTTTTCTATATTGATTTAACATTAGTAGTGCCCAGAAAAACTGAATCAAGTTGATCTGGAATGCTTTTTTTCCTGTTGCATTTTTACTATTTAGTTTGGCACTGGTGATGAAGAAGGTATGAATTTATTTGCCAGTCATCTGTAAGTGGGCCCACTTGAGCTCACAGGGTGGGTAGAGAAGATGGAAAAATGCAGTGATCTCTGCATCTGGAGTTATGATGGCCACCCCACGAACCATGGCATGGTCAGGCACGTGTAGCATTGCAGAGTTACATGGGGCAGGAGCCCTCACTGCTCAGAGATACTCCTTGGCAACAGAAAGGTACTTGCAAAGGCCCTGGAGTCCCATTCCCAAAGCAGCAGCTGCTGTATGAATTCTTGGAAACCAGGAAGGAGGAACTGAGACAGGAATAATTCAACAACCCACCTAAGACTATGGAAAATCTGTGTAAGATTTTGTTACCACTACAACTTACTAGGTGCCTTGCTGGGACACAGGACCACTGCCTGCAAGGAGAGATCCCAATAATTATGAAACATAACCTGGGCCTAGCTGCAAAACCGTTGTGGAAGGAACCAGACATTGGAGTGAATCAGACTGAAGACTGCTGCATGTTGGTATGGATTACAAAATACATGAGCCAGTCAGAGCCACCATATCTCCAAGGGATGGGTTTGCCCAACTGATCAGCAGATCTAATGCAAGAAGAAACAGTATCCTGGTTTTGTTCAGATGGTGATGTATTGCCAAGCTGTAATGTGAGCTGCAGCAGCCAGCTGGCACTGGGCGTGTGGTCTCTGATTACCAGGCTGCTCTGTAATGGGACCCTTTGCCACTACCTGGGAACAACTGGCTCAGATTCTCCATCTACACCAAAATATTTTACACTATTTTGGCATCCTTCCTGGGCGTAGATAGACAACGTTAAATTCATAAATTTCTTGGCTGATACACAGCTGGACAGATCTCTCTACTTCAGAGGCATAAGAGGAAGAAAGAATTGTAGCCAGAAATACTTCTAAACTCCAATTTAGGGCTAATGAAAGTTTTCTACATATTTTACATATTCTTATACAGCACAGTGCATTCATATACAGTAGATGTTGCCTTCACAGGCTAATAAAGGATGGTTGCTCACAGAGGTTGGAAATGGTGAACAATTTTGTATGAGGAGGAGAAGAAAGCAGTATGTGGTAACTGAAGTCAGTACCTCAAATACTGACAATGCCACAATTTCTGTGCTAAGTGGATATCACAAGAGGAATGACAACTATGGGAACAAGCAGGATTCAATGATCTTGACAGTTCAGTGAAAAAGTCACTTATGTTTTTGGAAAAGAGCTGTGTAACTTGTTCAAAACAGGATTCAACCGAGATTATAAGGACACACTTCAGGTAGGCAGCCCTTGAAGTGTAACCCATTAAAAAAGATACCTAGAGTAAATTACCAAATCTAGGTGGTAAAAGCTACTAGCAAGACATTTGACTGTTGTTTGCTATTCTGTTGCCTATGGGATCACAGCTGTTTAAACAACTTTGAAGATGTCAGCTGGAACCTACAGGGGAGGGAGACATTTCTTATGTAAATGAATAGATCAATAAACCACCAATGAAAATGCTAACCCTCCTAAAATGAAAAAATGCTCATTATAATTTCACAAGAACTTCTAACTCAAATGTAAGTCTCATAAAGTCCTTAATCTATTTAATAGACTCTAGTCTAATCTAGGCTCTAATCCAGTATAGGACTTTTGTTGTGTAGTATAAATGTCCTTATGAACCTTGCAGTTTTGCCTCCCATTTCACTTTGGGACTACAACACTGATTCAAAATATGTGCATACCAAGAGCTGTGTGAGTTTGGGAAAAATAAATAATGACAGTATATGGGTGGGAGGCTGACTTGCCTTTCCCAGTGCAATAATTACTTTTGAGAAAATGTTCCCCACATGCATTCTGGCAAATGTTGAAAGCCAAATGCCCTAAGCACAAGATTCTCACTCTTAAGCTGAGTATTTTTTAATACTTTATTAAAATATTTTTTAATACTTTAATAAAGTATTAAATATTTTTAAGTATTAAATTAAAAATTAAATATATTTTTAAGTATTTTACTATGGCTTAGAGTGGCACTTTATCAACTGCTCTGGCTTAAAGGCAGCTTGTGTCATGTTGTCTCAAGATCAAGGAGAAATCCTGGTGAATAAGCCAAAGCTCATTCCCAGCTGTGGAGGAAGAAGACTGCTGACCTATGTCAAAGACTGACTATTTTCAAACAAGTCAGAGCTCTGCTCATTTTTTGAGGGGCAGAGACCTCAAAAAGGGTTATAAGATTTTCTGCCTATGATCTGACTGTCCCATCTCCAAGTGGGAGGGGAGGAACAGTATCATAGACCCTCCTAGCTGGGTGCGTGTTTATATTACCCTAACTAAAATAAGGGGAATCAGTCCTGCATGTTGGGTCCTTTTTCAGATTTACAGGGCAAGGAACAACCTTCCTTTCTCTCAACAGCCTCCAGTGAAATCATAGAATAACAGAAAACTTTGGTTTGGAAGGATCACCTTAAGGATCACCTGGTTCCAGCTAATCTACAGTGTCCAGGGGCACCTTTCACTAGACCAGGTTTCCCAGAGCTCCATCCAGCCTGGCCTTGAAGACTCCCTGCCATGGGGCATCCACAACTTCCTTGGGCAACCTGTGCCAGTGCCTCACCACCCTCTCAGAAAAGAATGTGTTCCTTGTATCAAATGTAAACCAACTCTCTGTCCATTTGCTGCCATTACCCCTTGTCCTGTCACTACATGCTCTTTTACAAGCCCTTCTCCAGCCTTCTTATCAGCTCCCTTTGGCTACTGGAAGGCCACAATTAGATCACCCCAGTGCTTTCTCTTCTCCCGGCTGAATAACCTCAGGTCACTGAGCTTGTCCTCACATGAGAGGTACCCCATCCCTCTGATGATCTTCTGGAAGTCACAGTGACTGACTCATTGTGTAAGCCTAGGTCTATCACTTGCTTGAGAAAACATGGCATACAGAATTCAGCCTTGTAGACTACTTGTGCTAGGCCAGGTGGGGACTCTGCCTCCTCGCCTTCTGACACTCACAAGCACTTCCACAGGGCACTCTTTAATGTTGAAACAATCATTGGGAGAGTATGTAAGGGTCAAGGACGTAACATGAAAGGGACAGTGAAACGTGGAAATAGATTGGGTGAGTCAGGGTAGACTACTAGATAGATAGACTGCTTCCAAATTTATTTTTGAGTTTAAGTGAAGAGTCAAGACTATTTGAAGGTCATTTATAAGGTCAAGGTATTTGTGGTAGTGGTAGGTGGTGCAAAAAGGGCCAGTGCTCACCACTGTACTTTGGGATGCTCAGACTGGATGTTAGGGCAGTCATCTTTCACAGGGAGATAGTGCAACACCTAAGCAGGTTACCCAAGAACTTGTGAAATCTCCATCCTTGGAGGTTTTTAATATTTACCTAACAAAACTGTGTCTGTCTAGTCTAATGCTGAAGATTATCCAGCTTTGAGCAGGCAGTGGAACTAAGCATCTCCAGTGGTTCTTTCCCACCAACACTTTTGGCAGGCTCTGATGGACAAAGTTAAGGCAAGAATGAGGAAGACACCATCCTTCACCATGTCTAAGGCAGTCCTACATTCTCTGTCAGCCACATCTGGTGCTGCTCCTGTGCTTAACCTGCTGGAAACCAGAGTGCAGGGTGAGAACTGATGGGAGAGTGGTGTTTGCTGACAGTCAGGTCTTGGCCTGATACTGAATTGCTTTACAGGCTGTGCTGAATTTAGTTATCTTCAGTGCCAGCTGGTTATCATACTAAACCAGATTGTTCTGGGATGTTGGATGAGGAGTATGAAACAGTTGATTGATTGATTGATTGATTGGTTGATTGATAATCATGAATTTTGACTATACAGTGCTGGGACTTGCCTTCGTAGAAGTTGTGAGACATCTGCTGTCACTGGAGCCACTGGCAGGATTTTGCTAGCCAGGGAGGAGAGGACTGGTCACAGTAAATCGTGTGGACCCCTGGGAAAGCAAGCTCACTGCAGCTGCTCCCTGTGTATGTCACCCACTAATGGGTGGAAAAGAAGGTTCCTTGCACAATTAGCTGGAGTGAAAGTACCTGTAGAAAGAATCTGCGCATATTATATCACTGTATAAATTATTGAGCTGATGTTCTGGAGATAATAGAGGAAACCCTTTCTTTCTTTCTTCTGTCCTAAGGATGGCAACTCTGAAAGTTTACACCTGCTTCCTGGAAGTTGTACCTCCTGTAGGCTCTGCTTAGATAATTAATTTGCAATATTCATTAGCCAGGGGATCAGTGTAATAATATATAGACAAACAGAGGGATTTCATGCTTATATATTGAGTCAGCTGTGGTTTTTCTTCTGGGCGTTGGTGAAGTTGCTGTTGAATAAATGGCAAAAACCCACATAAACCCAACAACAAAAAACAACCAAGTATTTTGATGTTTATCTGTATAATATTTCTGAGCAATAGTTATAATCATTAGTGAATCACAGGCAAGACAGAACCATGTGGCTGTAGCTCCGTGCTTTTTCTTCTCATCTGCAGACACAGAGGATTCCCAGAACTGAGTGGGAGAGATAAGCTGTGCCTGATATCACTCATCTTCTTCTCTCATATGCTCTATATGATCCAGCTAGATCCCAGTGTTTATAGGAGGACAGAAGCACAAGGACAACTCCTGCACAAAATCGCACCCATGAGCTTTCCCCAAATACAGAAGAGGTACGGAGAGCAGCTCTCCTCCTTCAGTTTCCTCCGACTGCAGGAGGGATATGTTCCTCTTGTTCCTCTGGTTTCTACCTTAACCTTTTATAACAATTCCCTGTGTGCTGGCTTGCCCTTCCCTGGTGAGTACTCCTGGCCACAGGGATGGCAGTTGCAGGTGTATGCCCTGCACAAAGGAGCCCCTAGCCAGAGGGGCCCGCGTATTTTGGAAATGAAGCTTTACACATGATCACTTCCCTTATCACTGGGATTCAGTATTTCTATGTGTTCCACCCCCTTTTCTTCCCTCACTTTTCCCCCAGAGGCCCACACAAGACCCCCAGGTAGTGGAGCCTTGTCACAACAGCACAGGCAGAAGAAACACGTCTGAAGGCACAGGAGGCAGGCAGGGGTGTGGGCTGACATATATAGTAGTAGTCAAAATTAGGAGTGCTTGGAGGATTTCAGATCTAAAAACAATGCCCACCTAATTCTCTTTCCCTCTGGCTGGAATGAAACAAAGAAGGAGCTGCAGCTCCCCTGTTCATCTGCACAGTTGTGCTTGCTGGACAAGTGTGTGCAGCTGGTACAAGGCTCTATTAAGGGAAACTAAACCCTCAAGCAAACTCAAAAGCAGTTTTCTGTTTCATGTGTCTGTCATAAAAACCCTGGTCATTTGTTATTTGAGGTGGTGCACCCTACCATGGTGAAGCTGTTTCCTGTATCCCTCAGCCATCAACAAGTTCCTGAAGTTTGGGCAGAAGACACTTATTGCCCTTCTGGGGCCAGGTCATTTATTCAGAGAAAGAATACTAGGCTGCAGTTTTTGTGCAGGACTGTAAAAATGAAGCCAGACTGTTGTTCAATGTACACTGCAATTCCAAGTACACTTTCCACTGATATTGGTTCCCTGATTTCCTCCTGGGGACTACAGCAAGAATTTCATTCGTCAAAAGATAATGTTTTAGGTGCACGGAGATATCTGACAATTAAAGTAGATGTCTCAAGGGATATGTGGCAATCTCACAGGCACGCCTACCTCCAGGTACCCAGGCACCTTTGAACTCTAGCTGCCAGCTGAGGCAGTTATACTGTAGAAATGCTGAAAGACAGATTAGAAAGTGTTCTTTTAAAAATGGTGGAAAGGTGTTTTATATCCACTTGGTGATTGTTAGCATTTTCTAATTTTGACCTTCAAGGCCCTGAATGGGCATATTTGTAAAATGTCAAATGATAAAAAGTATCCCATGTGTTCCAAATGCAGTCTTTACTCTGCCTGGTGAATATTTTAGTTACCCAGTTAGAGCAAGAGGCTTTTATTGAACAGAGTAGGCAAATGCAGAGGGAAACAGAAGACCTGTCATCCCTGTGACAATTATACGTCTGTCTCTATTTGTGTAATCCACCCTCTCAGCCTGATAAACAAGAGCCTGTGAGTGGGTTTTGAAAGGAAGGTGACCATCACCTTCTGTGATCTGGGTATTTTCTTGCGTACACCTCCACTAGCCTGTAAAGCAGGTAAGTCTTAACCTCTGCATTATGATATTGTTTAGGACTCCAGTCCTACTCTGAAGTGCATTCTGGCTTTTTAATCTTTCTCTGGGGCTCATTCAACATGTTTCACTTATTCTTGATTTCTACTTTCAGTTACTTTTGGAATCCACTACTTTGCAAGTAATTGCATTTCCATCTGGTTTTTTTATGTTGCTTCCCTGTGTATCTTCTTACTGTATGCTCAATGAAGCAAACCTTGGGGATGATCAGCTCACATCTGTATACTGCAGGAAATTTATAGGAAAAAGGCTCAGCCCAAGCAAATATGACTGAATAAATTGACAGATGGTACTTATTCTTATTACAAGTGATCTTCCTTTGACCACCTTTAAACTGGTGTGGAGCTTTCTACGTACATGCACTTTTACTTTCCCAGATGGAACTTTTTGAAGAAATTTTCTTGAGAAAATTTTTAAATTATCAGGAAAGAAAGTATCCCTTCATTTTTCCTGTATTTTCAGGTATAGGCGCAAAAGTTTTCCTTTTACAGCAGCTTTATAAAATGGATACACAGTAGCTTGTTTTCTTAAATAAAAATCCTTTCTTTCCATTTACCTTTTTGAAGCAATTGCTTACTTCAGGACCATGGGGTTTTTTTTATTACAGTCCATACTTGCTCACACACAGCCAACAGGATGGATCAACTGAAAGCCTGACTCTTAGCCTAACAATCCCTGTCTTCACCTGGCCCTCCTTCCCTTCCCGGAGACTGGCCTTTGGTTTGACTCCTGGGCAATGTCAGTGACCATATCTTTGCCCCACAGCTCTCCTGCTCACTGCTATGACCACTCCACTGGAAGATGCAATGGACACCTTGATCAGGATTTTCCATCACTACTCGGGCAAAGAAGGAGACAGGAACAAGCTCAGTAAAGGAGAACTCAAGGAGCTCCTCACCAGTGAGCTCACTGACTTCCTTTCAGTAAGATGCAGCTTTTGAACCTCCTGAGTGTCATGAGTGGGTTAAGCAGCTATCCAAGTGCTTGGATAGAGATAGCACCTCCTTGTGCAAGGCCCATCCTGTCACAGTCTCTCAGATAACAGTTCTTTGTGGAGCTGTACAGAAGAATATGATGTCAAATGTCCCGTTTGAGAAATATGTTTTCAGAGGGTGGTCAGTATCCTCCATGTACCACTGGCAGCAGAGAAGGGTACTGGTGCTCTGCAAACTCCACGGTGCTTTTGAGTGGGAGGGCTAGGCCAGCCTAGGAGCAGTAGCAAGATCAATGCTAAATAATAGTCAATTTGTTTGTTTGTTTGTTTGTTTTTAATAATAAGGCATAAATAAATCCATTGAAGACTTAAATGCAGCAACCAGTTGTCATGAGACAGGAAAGTAGCTTGTGCACACGGGCCACACAGTCCTTATCTTGTGTGTCCCGCAGAGTGGTGCTAAGGAAATTCTTTCAGTGATAAGTTGCTGATTAGAATATCTCTTGGCATGTTTGTTGTGTTCTACATTACACAGCATAGATGCTTTTATGGAATCAAAGCTTTAAAAATAATGGTTTTAGGTATCCTCTTAATTATAAAAATTATTGTGGACCTTATCCCAGAAGGAGTTTCTTTACATTGCATTCATTTCCTTGAACTGGATTTTCTTTTAATCTTGGCTATTGGTTTATTATTATGAGATTCAATGTTCTTGCTCCCACTGAATAGGATGGCTTTTTGCTGACCAGAGTTCTTCTGAATTTGGTGAATGGATATATAGCATGACAATTTATGAGTATTCTGTTGGAAATCAAAGTACTGTTTGTCAAGGGATGATACAGAGAAATGCACTTTACAGATCCACCTTGGCAAAAGAGTTCCATGTTTAGTATCTCCTAAAATCTGTTTGACTTATTTCAGTCCTTATTAAGAACCTGTATACCTTTTCAAGGGCTGCACTCTCTTTAGTTTCTGATGTTGCAGTGACTCGAGATGTATTACTGTTCAGGTGCATATTTAATGCAGCCTTTTATTTAATAACACCAGCCTTGTAACATAGCAGTGGTGCCAGGCGTGTCAGAATTGCGCTTTCAAGACCTGCACAGCTAAGTCACTTTTCTTTCTCTCTAGGGCCAAAAGGACCCCCTCCTGGTCGATAAAATTATGAATGACCTGGACTCCAATAAGGACAATGAAGTGGATTTTAATGAATTTGTCATTCTGGTTGCTGCTTTGACAGTGGCATGTAATGATTTCTTTGAAGAACAGCTAAAGAAAGAGGAATTTTAAAAAACCTCGATGTAATCAATCTCCTGTCCACAAATGCAAGCAAAGCGTGCCTAGTTAGGTAGCCCTCATTGGTGTTTAGTAAATGCAAACCATAATTCCTCCAACTGTTACTGCTCTAAGATATTTATGGAGCTAATCAGCAGCTGGTGTAAGCTGGACCACAGCCAGCTTACACTGCTTGAGCTGTGCAATATTTCCAGTCTTTGCACTCCATGCATCTGTAACATGCCTTCATCAGTTGGCCAGGTCAAGGGCTTGGGGTGACAGATCATCTGGCACGAGTTGAGACTTCCATTTCTTCAACGTCAGTGGAATGTTACTTATATACTTTTTGCATGGAAAATTTTGGAATGAGACACAACACCTGCAATTTAGTTTTCAGTCATTTTATAATAATCTTATTTTGCAGCTCAAAACCAGCAGATTCTTTTTAGCTCAATTCTGCTTATTCTAAAAATCTTTGTTAGCTGCTGCTCCCCACACTCATATTTCAGATGTGGTCACAGCTGTCTCTTGCTACTGGAGCATACAATACTGCCTGCCATTGTTATGGGTTCATTTCCTCCTGTCTCCAGATTCAATTTTGTTCTGTTGGCATTGCTTCATCCCAGAAGTCAACCTCTTCACTTGGCATAAATGAATTTATTCATATCATAAATTATTCAAGTACATAGAAGATTTAGTCACCAAATTGCTTGGAGGGCTGATGGAAGGACTGGGTCTTTGGGGGAAATGTGTAAATGCCTTCTGCTTTGACTACTTTGGCATGGTTAAAATGATGCCTTTTAGGACCACTTGTGGAAGATTTAATGATGAAATTCCAGGGTACAGCTTTGTAATGTGAGTCATCTTACAGAAAAATTATTATTTCATCTTACACTGATGCCCACCCTAAATGGAAATAGGAGTTCCCTGAGCCCCATGGCCAGGCAAAGAGAGAGTAGGCAAACCCCTTCCAGTGTTAGCTTGCTCTTGGGTTGAGTTAAGAGTATTTACACACTCCTGTTTGAATTAAGCATACTTAAGCATCCTCACCAGCAGGATATTGTGGCTTTTTTTCCTGCACGGAGAGCTCTTATATCCTCGTTATTTTGCTGGTAACCTCAAACTATAATAAAGGGCATCTGAATTAAATGAAGAATTTCTGTTTGTGTAAGATGTTATTAAAAAACCACTCCCCAATAAATATGTGCCCTGCTAGGCAATATTTGCGGAATTAGTTCACTTGTCTCTCCTTCCCAGGCATCCAAATATCATTTAGCAAAGTGTACATTTGTATGAAATTACATATGATTAAGAATATGTAATTTCTTATTAGCGGGGGATTTCACAGGGTGTAATAAATGTAACAGGGGGCAGACATCATCCTAAGAACAGGGCTACCACCAAATGGTGTTATCTTGGAAGAAAAGCAAACTTTGCAATGGTGACAATGCCACAGCATGCTTTAACCCTTCAACGAAAAAGTTATGCAGGATTCACAAAATATGTTGTAGGCCAACAAGACAGAAAGTACAAAAGTAAAACTGGCAACAACTGGACAACTTTTTGATCCCTTTAATGCCATGCACTTCAATATCATTGCAAGTGTTGGACCAGGATGGCAAAAGTATCAGCCAGAAAATATAAGACCACTTTTGTGGTTTCTCAGGGCCCCAGAGAGTTGCTAGCCACTATGCCTTTCCCTGTTGTCCAAGGGGAAGTGAAAGAAGACCTGTTTAAATCTTCAACTCCAAGCTAAAAGGAGTACAGTTATCCCAGTAAAAACCACTTCCTTCTCTAAAAAAATTGAACAAGAATCTTTTTGGAAAGAAGCTCCAGAAAGAAGCCCAACCCTGATGAACCCTTGTACATGTAGCAGCCCATGTGCGTAGCAGAATTATGCTGGGTCACAGCTGGCAGCAGCAATTTGCCCTGGAGTCAGGCAGCAAGAGTCACTGTGGCAGTGGAGAGGGCCAGAGGAGCCATCTCATCAGCTGGACTTGCTAGGAATTGTGTGCATCCTAACTGCTTTGTGGAAGGGGCTTACTTGCAGATGAGCTGTGGGAGAGTCAGAGGAGAATGACTCAAATGATCATTTTTCCAACAAAGTTTCATAAAACCTCATAAATCACTGTTTTTAGCTTGTCTTGTTAGGTGTTTCTTTGTTGCTGTTTTAACTACAAGGACAAATGTTAAACTTTGTCTTTTCTGTCAGAAGAAACCTTTTTGTACAAAGATGGGAAACCAAGCAGAAACGTAAGAAAATGCACAAAACACATTCCAAAGCTCAAACCCACAAAGCCTTCACACAATATGGGGCCCTGGGGTAAGATTAGCCATCCTATTCCTGGGCTACCTATGGGCTGACCTGCGGCACCCATGGCCCTCTCTCACTCCTCTCACACAAGAGCCAACTAACGTTCCATTAGAACATTAGTTGCTCCAGTAGACATCACTTCTAAGAAAGATATATGAGGATCACCTGAAAGCTTTGAATTGCCTCTGAGCCAGAAAAAAAAAAACTGTGAACAATCCTCTATTCTGTAAGCACTCTTAAAGAAGGAAAACAGCATTTAAACCACTGGCATTGGCTATACAAGAGGGTGCATACAAGGCCAACCTCACTATGAGCATGATGTCCTGCAGATGTGAACATTTTTGGATCTTCATTCTCTCTTCCAAACCTGAAGGCAGGATTTTTTTTCTCATTGTTTACTGACATTTTCCTGCTGACTTCAAGTCTTTCTGTAGTTCATGGATCTAGGGAGTACTTTGAAGTTTTGCATGCAGATTGAGCTTGCTGTGTGGTTTTCTCCAGAGTGCCTCAGCATTAGGAATGATGTCTAACTACAGACATTTTTTCCATTTGTTATATCAGGCTGTCTTAAAAACCTATAGAAAATTGAACACCAAAATATGGCCTAATATTTTCAAGTTACATCAAAAACCAATAAAAATAGAATGGTGCCAGACAAGATCTTTTCTCTATATTGTGAAATTGCTTTGCTTGACATCTAAAGAGCAGATTTGCAGAAGACAAATTCCACTCTCTTGAAAGCCTCAGCGTCTGCCATTTGCTTTTATTTCAGTTCAAAAGAGATTTGAAGTGCCTGTGCAACTGGCAACACAAAGCTTGATGCATTACCTGCTGGTAAATTTATAACTTCTTCAGATTTGTTATCCAGCTACCAATCCCAAAGAGCTGTGCATGACACCACCATGAAGACTAGGAGTTTGTAATGGAGCTGTGTTCCAAGCTGTGGTTACCAGCTAGGTCCAGTAGGAGGGCACCACCTTTCAAAGGAAGGTGTGGAAATGCAGTAGGAGAATAATTCTGAGGATCATAGAAGTCGTCAAGTGCAATGAGATAACAATCTTCCACAACACTTTTCTCCCTGTAAAGATGAGAGACAAAGTTGCCTGGCATTGTAAGAAGGGAAAAAGAAGTGACCCCAGGAGACCCCAGCAGAACAGATGATGTTTCCAGTAGCTAGCAATGTTATCCACCAGTGTAGCAGTGCAGGTCCACCCCAGGTTCGTCAGCCACCCAAGGCAGACTCCTTTTGCAGGCTCCATGCTAGAGCATAACGCAGGGCAGGGCCAGGAGAAAAAACTCTCAGGGACAGCCTAGAGTCCATCATACGAGCTCAACAGCACACATAAAAGATCCAGTTCCTCTCTGATCACAGCCTTGAAAACGCTGGGTAAAAGGTCGCACACAAAACTTGTATCTGAAATCAGATTAATCTATATAAAGGTTTTTGACTGGCAGGAAGATTTAGATTTAGATTAAGATTTATACTGTGGCGTGACATCATGTGCATGTCTAATAAGGGCTTTGATTGACATCAATCAAAGCCCTTATTAGACAGGCCATCAATTATTGTATGTGCCTTCAGGGATAATTACATCTGTTGAATAGCACTGTATTATTTGAAGAAAAAAGGGGCAACATTTTTGATTTGATCTTTCTTCTGCCACATGATATGGCATGAGAGAGAATGTTTAATTTATGATCTGGAAATCCATTTTCTAAATTGATTCTGTCCACATCCTTTCCTCTGAGTTGGAGAATGGTGGGCTATAGACTGGGCAGCCATCAAAGAGAGCACATGAATGAACTTCAGCAAAAGTATTTTAAAAAAAAGAAACACCAAAAAACTTGTCATTTTTAAATACCAGCTCTCAGCCACCTGCTAGCAGTTGTATATAAGGGGCAACTCCCAAGGAAGAGAACTGCAGCTGCATCCACTTATTTTGCCCTTGCAAGCAGATTCTCAGCTGATGTAAAATGACAGAGCCTATTGCACTCAGTGGCATAATTTTGCAGCAGCTGAGAACATGTGCTTGAGACTCTAAATTAGCCTTCAATGGAAAGTTGTGTTTCTGAAAGCTGGTTGGCTAAATAAGGACATGTCTATAAAACTGCAAATATTGCAACAAGACAGCAAAGAGGAGGACAGAAGAAGTAGCTGCTCAGAACCCAAGTCTTTGGGGGAAAATCAGTGGAAAATGTTCCTGTCACACATTTGCTTTAAATCCCAAGCTGCCCTCTCAAGTCCATTTTGACTGCATGGGGTGCAGACCAATCATAACAGTATAGCTTTCAAATATCTGTCAGTGGACTCTGCCTTAAAACTCCACATATGGCTTTGATTTTACATTCCCAGTAGTTGCATGAACTCAGAAAAGCACTACAGAATAAAGCACTACAGGAAAAAGATCTGTGTGTAGAACAAGTTATAAAGGGCAGAAAAGCAACTGAACCACCTGGAACCCTACTCAACATTGTTCTCTTGGAGTAGAAAAGTGGCGAGAAGTTGAGATTGCTGCAGAAAGATGTAAATTCCTCAGCTCTGGCTGGGGACATCAAGGGGCAGTAGCAAACAGATCCTTGTGGCTGAGTGATGTGTCTGGATGAGACACAGGGCTGGAGAGTTCCATCCCACTGCACTATTGATGCCTGCGGTAGATGAAAGCAAAACTGGTTTGCCCTTGCACTAATGACTGAATGCTGC